AAGGACTGGCCTCCAACATTTGTCGATGTCCCTCAATGTCATCATGGAAAAGGTGTTTTAGTCATGCTGGATTATCAGAATACAATCTTCTCTAAAACACTACTTTGCACATCAGTTAGACCTGCTTTTAAAATGTGAGGCACAACCCCAGAGGTGTAAAATCTGGGGAGGGCATAACACCAAGGGACAGGACAGCTCATACAAACAAAACATCAAAAACAAATAAACCTTAGGGGCAGTAAAAAGGTTTCTGAGTGCCCAATGACTAAAGTTAATTCAAAATACAATGCGGAACGAATTGAAGGTGTATTCTTGCAGCGCTCACCAATGCTGCGTCGTGAGACTTCATTTTGTACTGGATGTGAGGTCACACCATGCAACACAGAGTGCTACCTGAAAGAGCTCAGCTCGCCTTATAGATGACTAGAAGTTACAAGCTGCAGTGGTTTTCCTGTACATGCAAAGTTTTCTGCTCTTATAGAAAACTCTTTTTAACTTTTGGTTTTCGGTTTTTGAAACAGGTTTCCTCTACATAGCCCTGGCCTTCCTGAAACGGGATCTGCAAACCTGGCCAACTCACAGAGATGCACCTGGCTCTGCCTCCTGAGTGCTAGGAATACAGGTGTGTGCCACCACTGCTAGGTCATAACAGCATAGTTAAGGAAAACAAAAACTTTTAATATTTCCCCATCATTGTTCCTCATAAGTACCAAATCAGTGACTCTGTCACTGTACTATGTTAAATAGCTCATTTTTTGTTTTGTTTTTTCAAGACAGGATTTCTCTGCATAACCCCGGTTGTCCTGTAACTTGCTATGTGGACCAGTCTGGCCTCAAGATCTGCCTGCCTCTGCCTCCTGAGTGCTGGAATTAAAGACGTGCACCACCATGCCCAGCTCTAGAATTGTTGATTTTAAAAATTATTGTTTGAGTTGCTGACTTGACTTTCACGCAACGTAATAAAACAAAATTTTGGCTTGGGGTTGGAATAGAATTTCAGAGCTCATAGAATTGAGATGGTCCTAAGCATATTCTTGTCAGTTTTTAACTACATATTTATGTGAAACAGCATTCTTGGCACTAATGATTATAAAATCAGAATATGGACCCCCTATGGAAAATGCTGAAGATATTCTCAGTCCTGAAGCATGTAGTCTTCAGGCAAGATTTAATTCTTTATGCAAACAAATGGGAACATCTATTTCATTACCATGCAAATTCTCTTCGGTAATAAATGGTGAAGGCATTCACACACCTAACAACTATTCTTCAATGAATTGCCTTATGATTTATTATAATGACATGTTTAATTTACATACCTACTTTACGTACCCTATATGCCAAGAGCTTTTTAAAATTTTGTTAGACAAAGGGAATAAACAGAAAAATTGAAGAATCTCTAAGCAAACATATTACACATCATCTCTAATAGCATGGGAAAGGTCTGAAAGGCTTTGGTACTAAAATCTGGGAAATCAAATGCTACTTGTTATTCTTTTTCGGTAAATTAAGTTGTTAACATGTAAGAAAGTAGGGGTAAAAGTGGACTTTTTAACTCAGAGGCAGAATTTCTGAGTTCGAGACCAGCCTAGTATACAGAGCAAGTTCCAGGACAGCCAGGACCAAGTTCCAAGACAGGGCTATACAGGAAAACTTATCTCAAAGAAAGAAAGATGGAAGGAAGGAGGGAGAAGAAAATGTACTTTTTAAAACAAAGTAAGTTCCTTTTTTAAAATTTAAAAAGAAAAAAAAGGCTGATTTAGACCAGGCTAGCCTAGAACTCAAAATTAGCCTGCCTCTGCCTCCTTTGTGCTTGGAATCACAGGCATGAACCAGGACACTCAATAGGTCCTAAAGTGAGGTTTTGCTTTCTTTAAAACTATTTTTCTTTTACAAAAACCTAGTGTAAAAACTCACCAAGAATAGGAAGTCTTTGCCTGTGTCAACTCGTAAGAACAATAACACTAGAAGACAACTGTGGGAAATGTGCTTCTATGACCAGGTACTGTCATTTGAATAAAACATCACCCTGGGCTTGGTAGACCAGAGCTCATAATAGACATGCCACAGAGTGCAGCAGTACAGCCAATAGGCCTGGAATCCACTGACAAAGTGTGCCCCTTAGCAAAGCGAAAGCAGGTGTCTGCTGTGAAGTCACGTGTCTGAGGACTTGCCTTTCTCAGCTCCAAATGAACTATGAGATACGATAAATACACAGCTTAGCCATATATCAGACCCACAACTTAGCAAAAGCATGACAGTTTGGACATGAAGCATCAGAATTTTTATTATAATGCTTATAAACCAAAAATGTTTCTGAAAAAGAAATCCGAACTTTGAGCACTCAATTAAATGTGGTAGCCTGTCCGTCTCACTCTGTGAATGCTGTCAGATAGAAAGCCTTTCTCTTTTTTTTTTTTTTTTCAAGCTGACACTCTTTAGGTAGGCCTGTGTGGAATGATCTGATATAGGAAAATCAAGCCACACCAGGTGTGATTCCTTGTTTCGGAAATCTGGGGTCAGAAGTATTAAGCTATTCGCAGTGGAAATACTTAAATCAGAGGAGACTTAGTGCTTATGGGGAAATGGGTTCTAGGCTGCCTGGCACTATCCTAAGGAAGATCCAAAAATGATAGGCTGAGCTGGAAAGAGGTGGCTCAGCAGCTAAGAGCACTGGCTGCTCTTCCTGAGGAAGAGCTGGGTTCAGTTCCTAGCATTCATATGGCAGCTAACAACTATCTGTAACTCCAGTTCCAGGGGATCCAAAACCCACATAAAGACATGCAGGCAAAACACCAAGGCAAACAAAATAAAATACGTTCAAAAAGGAAATAAAGCAAATAGAGGGCAATCAGATAGAAAAACAGGTCAGCGAGTATACGCAGGCACTAATTGTCCAGTCTTCTTTTGTAGGTCCTCACCGTTCTATTTAAATAACATCAAATCAAGCAGCATGAATGCTGTACTTGGTCCCAAGTGCAGAACTAATGAAATAAAAACTAGGATCCAAGCCTACAACTAAGAGTGCAGAAACTATGCCCAACATACCGGTACACCCCTATCATCCCAGCACTCAGGAGGCTGAAGCAGGAAGATTTCCAATTCAAGACCTACCTCTGTAACATAGTCTAGTATGGGAAGCTGGGCTGATGTGCTGTGGTATTGTAGTTGCTCAGGGCCTGAGTTTGACCTCCAGCACCTCAGAGAAACAATAGACTATAAATGGCTCTGATACACGAGGATTTTAGGGAGAACCAGAAAAGGAAGAAAGTTACAATTTTACCAAGTAATGGTAACATATATATATATATACATGTGTCTATTACATTGTATATCTCATACAGATAAGTAAATACTTCAGCTGTATGTCTAACTAACATTGAGCTATGTGTTTCATTTCTAAAAGATAAATTCTAAATTATTACAAATTTGTAAGGTGCATGTTTTCACTTCCACACTCCTATACGTGTTAATCCTAAGTAACTGTTTTGACCTTAGCCTATTCTCATGTCAATAAAGAAATGGGGTTAAATGTGCAGAACCCACAGCAGGCCAGCTTCAGGATTTACTCTCCTTAGGTGCCTCCCTGCTTTCTAACATTAAGCTTTCTTACAGAACAATTCAAAAACTTTCTCTCGTCTACTTACTGTGCCCAAACTATGCATCTACTGCGCTGGAAAATGACTATAACGCAATGCATTATGGAAAACAACCCTCCATAGCTAGTAATTGAAGTTTATTTCCTACTCTTCCAGAAAAGGGAATGATAGCACTGTCTTCACATAGCAATACTGATCTGTAAGCCACTGAGACAGCAGCAGATGGAAGGTCTCTTGACACCTACGTATAGTTACTCAAAACTTCCACAGAAACCTGTGAAAGACCCATTCCCAAAACAGGTCATCTCCAACAGTCTCATTCTCCATGAACTGTTTTGTTTATTTTGTTCATAGGATTTGTTGTTGTTTGTTTGTTTGCTTGTTTGCTTTTTGACACAGACCCTCATTTGTATCGTTGGCTGGCCTAGAACTTCCTATATAGACCAGGCTGGCCTTGAAGTCACAGAGATCCACCTGTCTCTGTGCGAACTGACATCAGGAGCCATCACCACCGGCTCTCCAGATCTCTCACGTTTACCAGTGTTCATTCAACACACAATGAAAGGACATCAGAATTAGAGTCCCTCACTAATAAACAACCATGTCTTAGTTTTTCATAATATTCGAACATCCACCTCTTAACAAGGAAGTCAGGTTAATATGTGGCATGTGCCAGCATGGGCACTGAGGGTAGGTAGGTCTACCTTCCTCGTGGGAGTAAACAAGCATATGGTTTACTGCTCTTGCTTATAGCTAACCCGGATTTTGAGTAAAAGTTAGCGGTGATAAATGTAAAGCTGGAGGGTTTCCAACCTGAAAGGAACTGTGTTTCACATCACCAGAGACTAGGAGAAAGGCGAGTCTCAGGGAAGAACTAATGAAAAGAGATGATACTTGAAATCAGTCAACTTCCCAGGACGTCAACTTTTCAGAAAAGCACCTCAATTTTTCTGTAATTCTGAAAGACCTAAAAAGAACTGAAAGTGTACGAAATTGCCTCTATGTGGTCCCATGTGCTTTTCCCCACTGCTGGCAGATTTTAAAATGTAAACATCCCTGGAAGGATAACTGCCAAGCAAAGCCAAGATTATCTAGGAGTACCCCTACTGTCTCAGGAACTACTGAAGGCTACCTAGGAAGACAAGGGACCAGAGAGGAACAATAGCATCAGTGTGCCAGGTTAAAGAGGTTCTGTTAGGTGACTTAAAAGCTGCTAAACTTCCAGTCGACTCTATGGTCTTCTGAAACCTGAAGAAAGGCTTGAGCTTGGGACAAGTGACCTTTGAAGGTGGGTATCCAGTTCCTGATAAAAAGTGGAATTTGGACCCAAGTTACCTAGAGCAGTTTCCCCACTCGGAAAAAAAAAGTCCTTGGCTCCTTCCGCCCCTGAGCGATACTTACTTACCCTTTCTCCCGCTCTTCCTCGGTGAGAAGGGGTAAGTGGTAATATTGTACCCTCGCCCAATTTGGCCAAAATCCTAAAAGTAAAAATGACAGAGACAGGTCCTTTAAAATCCCGTGGCTCCAGCCTGAGCAGCTCCCACCAGCTGCCCACCACACCAGGAGCGGCGTTCCCTCCCGGCCGCTCTGTGGGTACCCCTAGACGGGGAGAAGAGATCGGCTACCCGCCCGGATTGGGGTTTCGGGTTCCCTAACTGAGGGAGCCAGCAGGACGAACTGAGGGGACAGCCGCGCGGCCTCGCTGGAACACGCGCACGCACGCATGCTCGCTACCGTCGCACGGATAGCGGCCGAGCGGCTCCCCGCCTCCCGACAACGCCCACTTGACTGAGGACAAGCCGGAGAGAAGAGACCTTGCCCGGTACATAGAGGGTCTGCCTAAGCCCACCCGTGAGCCAAGCCGCCCGGACCCGCCACCCCATTCCCCCGCGCACCCGCTGCGAAGCTCAACCCAGGGGAAGTCCCCGCGGCAGGCCCCGCCCTCCGCCGCGGCACGCTCCGCCCCCCGTCGCTGCTCGCCCCGCCCTCCGCCGCCACTCGCCCAGACCCGGCCCCCAGCTTGGCGGCAGCGGGAGACTCCTCCCCCTACGGAAGTCCCGCCCCCGAAACGGGGCTCATGGTCGATCAGCAGCCAGAAATAGGGTTACATCGGATCAGGGGGCGGTACTGAGCCTCCTGGCAGTTACAAGTGTTAGAAGCTTTAGACCTAAGCCCTAGGTCGAAGCCCAGCTTGGCTAAGAGGGCAAGGAAAAGCAAGTCACCTGAAACTATCTTAAGCTTCTCCCCTTAGGCCTGGAACCGAGACTGGACTTCTTGTGTTGTTCTGTGGTTTGGTTTTGTTTGCACACGGGGAAACTTCGGTTTTGCTTCCTCTAGCAAGCCAAAAGAAGAAATCCAGAACAGTTTTTTTGCTTCAGAGAAACTAGGGGTCATATATATATATATATATATATATATATATATTTGAGCTTTTACCGTTTAATTGTACACAATCTTAACTGTGTTATTACAACCCAGAAAAACAGTGTAACTAACAGAAAATAGACAACAAAAATTAGTTCGCTTTTTCTACCCTTCCCCAATTGTACCTTTATCTTTTCTTGCTTTACCCTTCTAGATAATGCTGAAGTTTAAGTAGTTTAAGTAGTGCATAATGTTCTGACACTCAGCATTCAAAATTAATTCTAAAGATGGGAGAATGTAAGAGACCTAAATGGAGCTGGGCAGTACTTGCACGGGCCTCTAATCATCCCAACACTGCTAAGGCAGAGACAGGTGGATATCTGAGTTTGAAGCCAACCTGCCAGCCTAGTCTACAGAGCAAGTTCCAGGACAGCCAGGGCTACACAGAAACCTTGTCTCAAAAAAATAAAAAATAAAAAATAAAGAAAAGAAAAAGGCGGGGGGGGAGTTAAATGGACAGATAGCTGATAATTACAAAAGTCTGCCAAAGAAAACAAGATTGCTATCCTGTATACGATGTAGGTGCAGTTATTCTATCAGTGGCCGAAATATTTACTGCAAGGTTACGTCTGATCCTGCCAGTGATTTATGACTTAGTTCCAAGAGCGTATCTTAGAGGCCATTTCTGATGACAGACCCTATTTACAAATTGGATTGGGTCCTAATAGTACAGAGACTTCAAATTAAACAAACGTTTGGTCCAGTGAAGAACTGACAGTATGGGATGGAATGAAGACAGATAAACATCAAAGATGGGGTGAGGGTAGTATTGTACAGGAACCTATGTAAATTTACAAAAAGAGTTGCTAAGTGGAGCTCACTTTGTGATGAGAGTTACCAAAGATATTTAAGAAGCCAAGGTAACCCCAAAAGCTTTTACCCCCTCTTCTCTGCAACTGTTAGGCATTCTAGAACTGACAAAACTCTGAAGTCAGAGCAAAAGGGACTTAAGAACAGTGATTCTATTCTATATGATACTATACTTATGACATAGTATATATACTGTTAAACCCACAGATACATAACAAAAACCAGTGAGCCCTACTCTCTGAGTTTGGGTGATAATATTGTGACAACATAGATTCATTCATTTTAACCTGCACTCTATTAAAGTATTCTCCTGACATAAATAGCTTGGGAGGCTTCCTGCCTCAGTTTACTAACCTAGGCCTAGACCTGGAAGTTTCTAGCCTTCATACAACCTAATCTAGGCCTAGAATATTTTCAGCTTCTGATATGTGCTTCAGAATAAACTCACCATTTCTAGTTCTTTCTTAGCTCTGGCTGGCAGATTCAACTCAGCTGTTCTGGCTCAAACTCTTCTCAATGCAAAAATGATTCAATCTGGTTTATCTTGTCTTCCCCTGAATGAATTACTCGGCCTCATACTAACTTGGCAGTGTGTTATAATCTTCTGGTTCCTTCTCATTCTCTGGCTCCTTCTGTCTTCACTTGTGTCTAGCTTGTTCTCTCTCTGTGACCTGTCTCTGTACAACTGTCCAGCTAAAGCAGCCTTCTTCTTCTCTGCCCTGCTCTCTTAAGTAACTTCCCTTTCCTCCCTTTTCTCATGTGAATTTGGCATATCCTATTGTGTCAAATCTTTCTCTGATTTGTCACTTTGTCTGCCACTCAACTAGACATCACTTTTAAACATAGGTGCTTCTTTCTACAAACTTAACCTTCATTGTTTGGGATTAAAGATATATACTAAAAGCATATCTCTATTCCAGCCAGAGGGATTAAAGGTGGTGTGCTAAGGACTGAGAATAACTAGAAATGGAATTTTTCAGTAAATAACACAATCTTGGCATTCATGGTGTAATAAAGTATCCTATAACAGTACTCTGTCTCAAGATGTTGATAGGAAGGTTGTACATGCATGGGAGAATATGTGAGTGTCCTGGAAGATGTGGGTATCCTGGGATTTGTGGGAAATCTTTCCATTCTGTTCAATTTTGCTCTCCACGTAAAACTGATCTTTAAAAATAAAATTATATTTTTAAAAAGAAACTAAAATAGAGCCTCTGAATACTATTTATTCTTCAGGGTCATTAAATTTGAAGCTCAAGTATTTGACATCAAAGCTATCAGAAGACTTGTACCAGATATTCCTAACTTAGATACACATTTAAATTATGATTATGCATCATATTAATATTCAATGGGACATTGAACCAAAGTTAATACTTGAAGTAATTAGGCTTACACATTCTATGGATCATTTCCTAGCCCACAAATAAAAGTAGGGTAAAAGCAGTTTCATCTGCTTGGGTAAAGTGGGTAACCACAAAGCTGGAAGAATGAGGATCTGAGCTCAGGAAATGGGGAATCAGAGATGGCTCCTGCGACTCATGGTTTCACTCAAGTGAATGTAAATGTCACTTTTATTTTTTCAGATGTAGGGATGAAATCAGAGACATACCCAAGCTTTATGGCTTGGACTAAGGCCAGAGTGTTTCTATCTAACTATCCCTAGGCCTAGACCTGGAAGCTTCTAGCCTCCATACAATCTAAATCTTCTGCAAGTCTGGACCTTGAAGGCCTCAGTTTCTGGCCTCCGTCTGCTATCCTAGGCCTAGAATGTTTCAGCCTCCACGACTTACTGCTGAATAAACTCACTCTTTCTAGCTGTTTCTGAACTCTTGCTGGCTAGTTCAACTCAACTGTTCTGGCTTAAACTCCTCTCCAAGCTGACTGATTCAAATTGGCTTCTCTTAGCTTCTGACTGAATTGTTCTGCTCTGAAAGACTGCCTCTGAACTCCACAAACAGAACTACTCTGGACTCAACTGCTCTCAAATGAAGTCTACTGAACTGAACTGAACTGAACTGAACTGAACTGAACTGAACTGAACTGAACTGAACCGAACTGAACCGAACCAAACTGAATTTAACTCAACTCTCCCCCTTTACAGCTCTTAACAACCTCTCCTTCTTGTCTGTTCTCATGAGAGTTGGACATATCCTACCTCTGACTCATTCTGTCAAATCTTTTTCTGATTTGTCACTTTGTCTCAATTAGAGGTCATTGTTTGGGATTAATGGTGTATACTAAAGATATGTCTGTATTACAGCCAGTGGGATTGCTGGATTATATTTTTGGATTTGATTCTTTGTCAGAGCAGCCATGATGCTGGATTAAAATTCCTCTACAATTGTCCATATGTCGTGAGTGGTTAGGGTTAGAGTTGACCTTGTGCTGTGTCCTGCTGATCTTAGTAGGTCAGAACAGAGAATGAAGTTAATGCCTCGATAGTAAAGCAGAGAAGAACCTGAGTAAACACAAAAAGGCTCAAGGACAGATTTATAAAATATACTGTAAAGAGAAGATATCAACTTTTAGTATGAAGTACATCACAAAGAGAGAATTTTAAAATCTGAAAAGTTGAGTGTAGCATGGTGATGCACATCTTTAATCCTAGCACTTAGGAGGCAGGGGCAGGCAGATCTCTATAAGTTCAAGGCTACCTGGTCTACAAAGAGTGTTCTGGGACAGCCAGGACTACAAAGAGAAGCCCTGCCTGGGGTGAGTGGGGAGCTGAAAAGTTCCTTCCAAGCCGAACTCAAGGATAAAAGTTAAGATAAATCATTGAATTAGATTTTTCTTTCTAGACAGAACTACCTTCAAATGCTTTAGGTAAGCTGCTTTATTGAAGACAAGACTAATATCATTTCATTGACTGATGAAAATAAACATTCTGCAAATGAAGAGCTAAAGTCGAAACTAAGTGAAACAAGAAGAAAAACCTTCTGCATGTCACAGACACTGCAGTAGGAATGACCAGAGAAGGATTAAAAAAATAAGAATTCTATAATCAAATCTGAGACCCATAAGTTTTTAAACAAAATGACAGAGTCTGAAAATGACGTCAACTTCTAAATTGAAGGGCTGGATTTGTGTCTGTCTACCTCAAGATGGCAAACAGTGTACAAGGTTATGGACAAATCGAAGCAGAAAAGTAGGCAGCACATTCCCAGAACTGGACTTAGTGACTTTTCTGAAATGGCTGATCTAAGATGAAACACCTTAGGACAAGGAACAATTAGTTACCCATGGGTTACGAGAAGCACATATTACCTTGAACTGGATACAGTTAAAAATCACATTAGACATTATCTCCCATTCATCAGCCGCTTCCCTGTTTATGTATACAACATCAGACAGAACTCAAACTGTTGACTAGCCTGTGGA